TATGGCAACGCCTGAAGGCTCATACGGCGTTTATCCTCAGCACGGCAGTATAGGCTCTGGGCTCGGCGACGCTCTGAGCATTCCCATGCGTTTATGTAACTCATTAAATGCCGGCTAATGCGGGTTGATTTGTTTTTTTTAAGGCGCTGCGTCGCTTGGTGCAATTTACTGCGATGCGTGTCGACTTGAGGGAGTTTCGCCTCGGAGCATCTTAACTGTGAATAGTCTGAATGGAACTCTTCCATACATCGGGAATTTGCGATTTAAGTACTGATACTGGTGTAAAATTTCGCAAGAAACACGATGGTGCCACTGGTTTTTCTCTGAAATCAACTCAAAGCCCAAAAAAAAAGCTCTTAACGTAAGAGGCCGCAATGGAGCAGGGGATATCCCACGCTACCCTGAGAGTCCACTTCTATATCAAGACAAGCTCTATTCAAAGATAGGGAGCAAGTAAATTCACAGGGTTGCAATTTTGTCGCGGGACACCAAAACTGAAAACACGGCAACCCGGCTGATGGTTCAGTTACACGATCAAATTGAGCCATCGAATTGGGCCTCTCATTGGTCGCATCCTCACTGCAGGTCTTTTTCCACCAATCAGAGCTTCAGTTTGATGGTTCAATTTGATCGTGTAACTGAACCTTCATCATTTGCTTCCCATCTTTGCGTAGCGAGTTTGTCTTGATATAGAGGTGGACTCTCAGGGTATCGTGGGATAACCCCTCCCGTACGACCTCCAATTCCAGAGCTTTTTTTTTGAGCTTCGGAGTTAATCAGAGCAAACTTGTGGCACCATCGTGTTTCTTGCGAAATTTTCTATGGAAATTAGTGCTTAAACCGCAAATTCCTGACACATGCAGGAGCTCCATTGGAGACTGCTGAAAAACACGAAGAGTTCCCCGTGATAGAGGATCCACGTAAAACTTCATACATTTTAATTTTCAGGCATTATGTGATTTTGCAACCCTGCGCCGCCTGCGCGGCAAGTGGCGCGGCTCTCCCCCATCCGTCACCAGGGTCTGAGCGGAAGCGCATCTCCTCCCCCTTCCACTCGAGAGATCCAGCAGAGGCGCCTCACCCCCTGTCCCACCTTCGCTCCTGGTGGGGTCTTAATACCCTTGTACTCGGAGTAGAAGGTACTCCAGATACAAAACGCAGAGCATCCCGTAGAATGGACTACTCCGCATCTCACTCGAGTTTTCTGCGGGCAAAAGAGGGGCGAAGTAAACGGTAAATGAACTACGGGTTTTCCTCTGATTTCTGACAGTGTCCTTGCAGTGGATTCTTATGGAAATTTCGAGAGAACTTTTTCCATTATATTTCGTCAAATTAAATTTTTTCCGCTCTATCTGGAACACCCACCACCATTGGAAATTGCCGCCGATGACAGCACCATACGGCAGGGAACCAGAGACGAAGAGACTCCATCGGTATCTTGGCAATAATGGTGGAAGCTTTGACTTCCGCGACTCCTGACGGTACGGAACCTTAGGCGCGTCTGGACGCGGCGTCCAGACGCCGATAAATCTGTCTAAAATGATTTTTGCGCGGGGACGGCACCTTAGCGGCGAAGAGACGCTGCGGAAAACGCCGATCGAGGACGCTCCGATCTGTTCGCGACAGATCGGAGCGAAGACGCCGAGAAATTCCGCTCAGTCCGCTGCCTTTCCTACCGATTTTTGAATGTGTTTAGTTCGACAAACCCACGAATCGATCACAAAGGCCGTGAATTGATCGACAAAAGCCGCGAATCGATCGAAAATTCCGTGAATCGATCGACAAGAGCCGTGGATCGACCGACCCACCCGTGAATCAATCGACAAAAGCCGTGGATAGATCGACAAACCTGTGAGTCTATCGACAAACCTTTGAATCGATCGACAAACCTATGAGTCTATCGACAAACCTGTGAATCGATCGACAAACCTATGAGTCGATCGACAAACCTGTGAGTTGATCGACAAACCCGTGAATCGATCGACCAAGTTGTGAATCGATCGAATTACGTCGGTTGATTCACGTTTTGGTTTTTCGATCGATTCATGTCGATTGACTAGATACCGGTTTTCCTTTTAATTGTCAATCATTTCTCGTCTAGGTATCGATCCACATTTTTTGTCGATCGAATCGACACCCGTTTTTTAGTAATTTGTCCATCGATTGGTGTCGATCGATTCACGTTTTTATTTTTCGGTCGATTTTTGTCGATCGAATCCACACCCTCCTAAAAAAAAGCGCGTACAGCCATTTTCGCGGCCCAGAGCAAACTGTCCGATCAACGAAAATTCGAGAAATTGACGGCGGACAGAGCCGAAAAAATCCACGGATTCCGCTCCTAAGGTGCCGTGCTCTAAAATGTGAGCGTCTTCTCGCCCTCGACTCGGTAGTGCATTTTCCGCCGGCGTCCAGGACGCCGCGTCCAGACGCGCCTAAGGTTCCGTAGCTTTGATGACTGATCAACTGCTGACCTACCTAACTACTAGGTGACCGCTCAACAACGTGTTTAGTGACTACATAATTAGTTTTACAAACAAACCAAAGTTTGTAAGACTTGTTTGGTTGATGACGTCGCCCGAAGCTCATCATCCACCTAGTGGGTTGGTCAACTGCCGAAAAAAGGTGATGACTACCTACTGCTCCCTTATCCCCGAAAGCAAAAGTTTCCACCTGTCACCAAGAGGCCGATGGAAGGTCTTTCTGTCTCTGCAAAGACCGGATCAGAGAGTCACGACATTAATTACGTTGAGCTTGCCTACGTCAGGCCCTGAGTGCTGCACACCATCGCTTATGTTTGTCACTCTCTGCCGATTCCCACACTGCACAATAGTCCGAGAGCCCAACGACATTTTGGGACAAACTCGGGACACAAGTCTTGACTACTTGAATCTGAACTGACACGGAAAATGGTTGTCTGCCACGTGTTGGCACACCCCACAACGTGACCAATGATCATTTTCAGAGTCAATTTGAGTAAAGCTATTGATTTAAGTGGTCAAAACTTGTGTCACGAGTTTGTCGCAAAATGCTATCGGGCTCTCGGACTACGAGGGCAATCACTCTTCTCACGTCAAACGATTTTGACCACACCAAAATTGGAACTGCAGCTACCCTCCTGCTCGTATTTGTACAGGGTGGTGGTCTCCTATCGATCAGATTTTCATGTGTATAAAATCGCTTCCTTCACGGTTTTCTCGATAGGCCAACGTATGCAAGAGCAGGATCATTGAAAAGGATGTGGTAAACCACTCCTACTAGTTTAACCTCACGATTAACAGCCTTAATTAGTTAGGAAATGATCAGAGTTAGTACAAAATGACTCACTCACTGAAAACTATTACTCTCACGAATTTGGTAACAACGTATGTCAGAAAGTCAGTGGCAACCTACAGGTAACACTCCAAGCCCTGCCTTGATAAAACGTTCTAGATTGAGTGGTAAGCATACTGTAAGTGCCTTCCTTAAAGAATCCAGGCCGGGTTACTTGCAGATAATGAACAATTCACTCAAGTTAGGTATGACTTTTTTCAATGTTTGATGTCCAGGCTTCAGGCTGACCCTCTTAAGTTGGACAAGTCAAAGGGAGTTTACCACATCCCTTGTAATGATTGTGTATGTCGGTCCATCAAAACAAATTACATAGGAGCAGGGGTAGAGGCATGAATACGATAAATAGGAGGTCACCGCCCTCTACAGACAACAGTGGGAGACTGGCTACGGTTCAAATTTTGATGGGGTCAAAATTCTGGGCTGCAAGAGGTGGGGTTTTACTTACTCACACAAAAAGGCACTGAGAGATTACCTACATGGATGGAAGTTTTTAATTTGAAGATCTAGTATCACTTGAGTGCTAGTCTGGTGCTGCTAGGAGGTGCTTTCAGTTCTGTTCGGAAGCAATTGGTGTTTGCCTTAGGCTGTCACCTGAGCAGGTTTACAATTGCAATGGTCACCCTATCAGTCCTTCTTAATGCATTTCTTGGGTTGAAGCTTAATGTTTTAAATAATGGAATTTTTAGCTTTAGTATTCCAGTTTTACTCCTTATATTTAAGTACAGAGTTGGAGATTGCAAGGGTTGCCGGCCAATTTGTTCCGAGATGCTGATTGCATAGACTAGTTTTCTGCTCATATTGTTTGTATCCGTTTCTTTATTGCCTAGAAACCACAGTTAGTGGTACCTAACCGAATGTGAGCAGAGGCTACATTGGTTGGTGATGTAAAACTGCAACAGTAGGTTGATAATGACTACAACAGGAACCAGTGCTGTCAGAGGTCCTAAGGCTTAACTCAGCCTTATAATCTACTTCCAAGGCACAAAAATAAACAGTCCAGATCCTTGTCTATTGCGTGCAACAATAACTGAAGTCTTGTTAGGTTTGCACGGATCAAAAGCACAATAGGAAGGGCTGGATCACATTTGATCCACCTTCTGGTAGGTACACCTAGGAACCAATAAACAATCTTCGCAATATACCATCTTCTCTGGTTTCCATGGTTCATTTTAAGATGGAGAGGACAGAAAAAATCAGGTCTTCCGAAGTAGGTACTCAAGTACAAAGAATGCAAGAAAGGAAAGTGTGCAAGGACGATGACATTCCAGTATGAATTTAAAATGATTTTCATGGCACTCATAATAATCTACGTTTCTCATTACAAACAAGACACTGTCAATGATTCCAGGTCTGATTCTGCCACCTCTCGATTCGGGTTCGACCTCTGGCTTTTGACAGGTACTCAAAGCTCTTTCCGAATTAATTTTAACCGCAGTTTGAGACTTTCATGATTTCATAATGTCTCATCAAAGTCGAAATTGTCTTGCGACCCATTGAATTTTTCATATACGCCTTAAAATCCTCAAAAAGAGCGTTTCAGCTTCAACTTTGACAAGAGGTTAAATTTGACCAGAGATGGCAGAACTAGCCCTTGGTCACAGTTAGACCGTGCTGTTCAACCTATGAGCATACAGACTGACAAAATAAACCTTATGAAAAGGGGCACTTACCCAGGGTCATTGGGAACTTCAGTAGGCACTACGACTGTCCCATCCTGATTCTGTGATTCCATAACTGTGATAACGATTAACAACTAACAGACTATCAATAACAATGAAAAAAAAATAAAAAAAAAATAAAAAAAGGGAGTAAACACGAACCAACTCACAAGCTACGAGTAAACATTGGGGACTTTTAAAAAAAATAATAACACCGTCCCCAACTCTACGCTAAAACCGCACGACTTAAACAACAACACTGCACAAGATTGTCTCCAGCATTTCATGGTCGACAAACATGTGAGAAGTCTGATGAGGCGCGCACGGGGACAGGGGCGGGAACTGCGCGCGATTCACCGTACCGTCTCGCCTCTCTGCCCTGCCCGACGGGACCACTGTGTTCATTAGGTGGCGCTCTCTTTCCCAGACGTCCCGAACTGACAGGAGAGATGAAGAGGTCGAATATGATTATAGATCGCGTCAGCATGGCAGCGCGACCTGCGACGCGACGCTACGCGACGTGACGGAGTGAAGAAGCGGCCGGCGCACGTCACGTCGCGTAACGGACTTATTGTCAGACGTGTTAAAAGCTCTTCCATAACAAGAGCCGTAATTTTAACGACGCGGTGCAACCTACTTGCTCAGCGGTCGGGCAAAAGTCGCCTCTGCCTACTGGCTAGTGGTTCCTGCCAATTTCCAGATTCGGCTTGGTGCCAAATTTGTTTAGCCATTACCTAGAGAAAATAGCGTGATTTACTCGTTTTTTTTTATTTCTAGGTAGATTGACTCGAAAACGGATGAGGACATAAATCTAAAGCTCAAATTTAGCAGCTCGAAAAAGAAAATAATTTTCAACTACTCTTATAACTACTTACATATAATTTTGTAAATGGAGAATTTCTTGATGTCACTTCACAAAAACTTCCGTGATTTTTCCTTGCAGAGTAAATTCTGTGAAAACTTCAAGGGAATAATGTGAATTAATTTCTCTCTTTTAGAAAAATCAAATAAAAACGAAGACATCAAAATACTTTAAACTAGATACGCGGTTTGGGAATTTCTCAGAAGGAATGCTTTGAAGTGTTGTAAATGTTGCCTATCTCCTAATTGAAGGGGCCCCGCTTTTTGATGCAATAAAATTGCAATAAGTTGTTTTTGCATTGCACATTTTTAAGCCTCTTTTCGGAAGGGGGGAGGCAGGAGGGCTACCCTTACCTTGTGATAGATTGTTAGTGATGGTGATTGTTAGATTGAAAGTACGAAAAAATAAAAGTATTGGCGTACCTACACTGCAAGTCTCCACTTATCACTGTTTTACGATGGCAGAAGGTCAAAGTTTAGAAGACTCTTACTTACTTCATCAAGGCACCACTCTGGAATTGTGATAGTTTCCACTGATTTATTTTTTTGAATTTTTTTAGTTTTAAATTCAAGATTTTAATAGTTGCCACAGGCATTCATCTACTGGTTACAGCTTGTAGCTTTAGTTTTATTCTTTCAATTTTGGTGGGTTTTTTTTTTTTTTGCTTTCCAAAAGTTTCCTAAAGGCCACAAATTGCAATTCCGATGAGGAAGATGAAGATGCATTCAGAAAGTGACCTGAATTATTTGAACTTGTTGACTGCAGTTTTAGAAGAAACAAAAACAACTTCTACTGTCTCTGAAATCAACAAGAAGAACATATTTGTAGAAATTTTTCAAAAAACATAAACTTCTCGTTCATTTTTTTTTTTTTTTTTTTTTTTTTTTTTTTTTTTTTCAGAGAATGAACAGGAATTAGCAGAAAATCTTGGCAACTGTGCACCAAGCCAAATGGAACTATTCAGCTCCTGAACACCGAATGAAGCAAAATTCTGCATACCTATTAGGTACAAAGTTGAGAAACTGAGAACCCAGGTTAGAGATTAGGTAAAAGTAAAGCTCTCCCATTGGTAAAGTAATAAAATAGAAAATTTCTTTCTCCAAAAAAATAAATTACTTTATGCATATTTATTATTTACACTACAAAACAAATAAGAAGAATATAACTGAAAGATTTACAAATAGCAAGAGTTGAGATAAAAAATAAAAAGATATTTCAAGCAGCTGACTTAAGACAAGACTAAAAAGCAGGAGTTCTTTATTACAAGGCTTGAACAGTAAGATCAAAAAAGATTTTTGATCATTGATATAGATAAATCAATAAGGATAGTTTCAATTAGAAATAATTACTTGGTCAAATAAATGGTTATTTCCCTGCTTTGAAAATGTAACAAATTCTTAGTGCAACGGACAGAGACATTTTTCTTCTACAATTGGACGTATTTCTGTTAAACGGAACTAAGCGCCAATTTGAGTTCCTTTTGAGGACTTTAGAATCTCGGATAGCCCGTTCTGTGAAACGGAGCTAATTGCCATGGAAAAGCATTGCGAGTAGAGGACGGAACGAGCATCACGTTCCGCAACACCTGCCAATCCTCCTCTCCCTTCCTCTCCCTATGGCGCTTAGTTCCGTTTGATAGAACATGTCCAATTCGCTCAGTGATAATTTTTCTACAACTGAAATGTTTTAAGATGATGGGGGAACTCATGAAGCTGCCGCCTCTGACCAAGCTGATTTTTTTCGCTGACTCTTTGGACAAAGTCATTGGGCATATTTTTCTTTTCAGACGATACCAACATTGATGCAGTACACTAAGTACAAAGAGTAGTAGAGAAGCATAATTTTTAAGCAACATTGGGAAGGGCTGTCTTAGCAGAAACATCTTTGAGGACAAGATCAGGTGCAAAAAACACAATTTTTAGTAATTGATAAGGCACGATTCCGCTGGGCGTTCATTGGCGAATTTCGGCGTGCGGATGAGTAGACCAGCAGACCGCCCTATAACATTAGCACACAACACCGCTCTTGGAGCAGAGCTGCGTCCAATTCGCCGCCGAAATTCGGCTAGCGAACGCCCAGCGGAATCGCGCCTCGAAAGTTTCCTGACGGTGAGTTCCGGAAAAGAGAAAAACTTGTGTAGAATGAACTTGTCTACAAATTCTTGGAAGGGAGGGGGATCAGCTCAATTAAAGGCGGCAGCCTCTCATATTCTTTTTCAAGCCGTTTTCTATATTCACATTATTAGAATCATCATATTTATATTTTTACAATTTTGAATTTAGAGTTGCTACTTCACTCTCCTACTTTATGTCTTGTGACAATGTTGAGCACATAAAATGCATTGTACCTCATACCATTACTACCACTTAGTTTAAATTATGAACATTATTTGAGGTTAAAGAGAGGTTACTGTTTAACATTAGAACTTAATTTATCTATTAACTGAATGATCGAAGATCAATTCTCATGTGAAGACATTATTTTAATTAATATTCAATTTTTGAAATCCTTGAGTAAACAGCAAACCAAATAATTGTAAAGTTAATTACTTCCGAGGTCCAAGTTCTCGGACTTAAAGATTTATATGATCATTTATTCTATTGCAAAAAAATTGCCTCTGGTAAAATTGATTTTTGTTTTAGACTGCAGAGAATCTGTGAATTTCATCCAAACTCAGCGCATAAAAACTAGTGGCATTCCATTAAATGTTTATTTACACTAATGTTGTGGGAATGCTCAACACGCAATAAGATGGATATCTGAATGATCCTCTTGAAATTCTTCAGGATTAAGAGCATTGCATTGGAAAATATAATGATAAGCAAAATTTAATTGGCAAAACAAAATGAGTGCAAACTCAAACATGTCAAAATTAAAGAAATCCCTCAAGCAGAAATGATACAAATAGCAGCAATGGAGTCAGTGAAAAGAAGACAATAAAAGGAAGCCTAATTTTTTAGTACAACAAAAGGGTAAAACTCAACTCAGACAAATCGAGTGAAAATTATTGATATTCTATTTTTTCTGCTGAACACTTTCTAACACACTCTGAACGATCAGGTAAAGTTGGATTTAGCAATTGAAGGAGTTAAATAAAAGTTGTGAATGAACTGAGTTTAAAAACAGCCATAGCACCAGCTCTATCTAAACTCAGGTAAGCGGTGCCGGCTGTTAGCATTTGCATCAGGGAATGTTATGAATTTTGATACTCTTTTTGCAATAATCATGATAGAATTTGAAGATAAATCTAAGTTGAACATAAAACTCTGAGGACATGAGAATGAACATCTTCGTTCATCAATACTATTAATACTAGAGAAATCATTTTGCTGAAATTGATATCAACTGCATTTCCTGGCAATATCCATTTTTTATATATTCTCTCAATAATTCACAATATTTTATGTTAAACTATGGAGACGCTTCACTTTCAGCACGAGTATAGTAATCTCACTTACTCTAAATTTTTCTCTTGGTTTCTGTTTCCCTGACATGGTCATAAATGGTCACTGATAATTTTGAAAAATGGCATGATTTCAAAATGAGTCAAAAGCTGATACCTTACTGAAAAAGATTACACTGTTCAGATTCAACTGAGTGCAATGACACTTGGTAAGTTAGTGGCAAAACCACATTTCTGGCAAAATAGTTCTGCCTGGGCTAATTTCACTTGATTCAAACCAGCAGGACCTGTCTTGATGCGGCAAAACTGGCCATGTACAGGTGTGCATATTTGGAATTAAAGCAAGGCGCATGTTATTGCCTAAGCAACACAGACTCTGGTGGAAAAGGAGTTCTGTTACTTACATGTGCATTTAGACCTGGCTGGAGTACAAAGAAATTCGCCACCAGATAAATTTCATAATTTTTTTAAATGATGTTCTTTAAAACCTTCTGAGCATGATAAGCTATAAATTCAAACTTTTAAAACTGCAAATTTTGAGAAAAGCTGAGCTGAGAAGATACTTTTTCAGCACTTTGAAATATATTTTCTGAATTGCAATAAATGTTGCGACAGCTGATTGGTGATTAAGGATAGCTCTTCATTCCTCACCGGCTGAGGAGATGAGACAAACCCATACTTGAACATAGTTGTGTTTCTTGGCCGAAAGGAATCAAAATTCTTACAGATGGCAGCAGTAAGCATTTCAGCATCGCGTCAATTTTCAACAAAGGCTTGTTCCAAAATCGTACACAGTTGTGCAAGTAAAATCCATGCAAAAGCATAAAAAAGTTATCGTTTCAGCCCAGATTTTCTTAGGATCCGCACAGAGAAAGTTTGATAGTTTAGGAGGTCATAAATGATAGCACGTCAAAAACTAACAAAATTTTGCTGGTGCAAAATCCCCAGGTATTCCATGCGAAGTCTTTGCTTCTACTACTTGGAGAAATGCATCTGGTAACTCTTCATAAAATACTAACTTCTGGAACCAAGGAGAGCCGGAGACTTTACATGACATACACCTTTTCAACTTTCTTGTAGGGAAAAATTTCTTTGGTTTTCGGGCAGATAACTTGACCATTGTTTTCTAGAGCCATTTGCTTCAAGGCCTATGACAAACAAAAAAAGAAAGGAATAAGACACGTTAGGTTTGCAGCACGCAAGCACAGACGAAATTGGAATTACAGTTTTTACAGAGATACTTTTAAAGATAGATCATGGAAGAGTTTAATTTATTAACTGGAGGCTGTTTTTGTACACATAAAAAGAAAACAGGTGAGTCAAAAAAGGCAATAATTATCAAATGTTCACAAATTTTTCTGACTGTCTTGGGAATGATGAAAGAAATGAGGCATTTGACTTTATGAAATTTTTCATATCATATTATATGAGTAGGATATGAAAAATTATTTTGCTAGAGGATGTTTTGGTGCCTCCAACAAGTCTACAAAAAGGCGAAAAGACACAATTTTCATGGGACATCCACAATGTTTGCCAGGTTCTTTAAGCTACTTGCCATAAACGTTGACACTTGTGCTTTGGTTGCAATTGACAGGCTGCACAATAGACTACCTAAGTGTGTTTTCTTCAGAAATCACTATTTTATACTTAGAGTAGAATTTGAAATTTTTTAATTAGTCCTCCTTATTCCAAGTATTATTTCAAGAGGGAGACATTTATTCTGGCCCTCAATTTCATATCTTGTTCAGTGGTCAATTTTGGTCGGGTCATTATTGTTAAAATTCTATCAATATTTTTCCTGGTGAGCGGACCAACCACGAATCAAAGTTTACTCTTCTTTTCGCTACTTTTTCAGGGTGTCTAGTATTTTTTAATTTTGAAAAATCTTGATATTTTCCTGATTTTTCTCGACTCCTGGCACGGTAGGCAAAAGGCATTAAGACTTTCTCCGCTGAGGAGATTTGCATACGAAAAATTCCTGATAAAACGTCCAATTTTTCCTATTTTCCTGGTATTTTCCTGATTTTTTCCTGATAAGCCAATATTAAATTATAAGAAAGTAACACCTAAGCTAGTTGAATGAGAGCATATTCCATTCTTACCTGCTCGCCATAAACATATCCATTGGGTAAAACCATCGGTTGATTGTCTTCATTGAGGGGGAGTCCTGATATTGCACAAATGAGGCGTGACTGACTGCAGTGAGCATATGGCAGAGGCATTGCTAAAATGTTCAACCACTCTTGGCACACAGGACAACTTGAGTTGCGGTTTTCTTTACTTGCAGAATAGCACTGAGTAAACATAACTGTTAAGGATGAGACCAAAAATCAATCTGAAGAAAATAATGCTGATTTCAGAAATATTTATCTCAACAGAAGGATATAAAAGACAAACTGAATCAAAATGCTGAAAGAACAAATCATTTTTCATTATTATCATGAGATATTAAGTGTGGGTTCATTTGTGGTTACTAGCTTTGCCAAAATTCAATGTCTATCCCAATCACCATGTGAGGCGAGGGGATTAACAAAAAGAACAAACCTACCTTAAGAAAAACCAATGAAATGGAATTCTATACTTAACAGTTCAAAATATGAAATGAATAATCAGATCATTTCGATCAAATGTATGAGTTGGTTAGTACCCTATGGTCAGCAACACTCAAAGATCACTGTCACGAGCAGTGGAGAACCCCATTTTCCAAGTGACTTTTTCAAGAGAAAACATTTTTTGTTTTATTGAGGGCAATATTAGAATATTTTTTTTTTTTTTTTTGGAGCCTCAAAACCCATTGGAGCTTAATTTCTGCTCTAAAACCCTCAGACACCCCCCTCTTTTGGAATTCCTCTTAAACACCTAGGTTACTATGTATAAAAATACTTGACATGAAACAAGGCAGCATATTTCGAGAGTGGTGGCTATTTTTCGTTGCTTATTAACCTTGTTATGCCAAGAAGTAAAATCACAAAAAAACAAAAAAATACACATGAAGAAAAAAAACCACTTTCAAACTTAAGGGGAGCCCTGGACTGCAAAATTGATAATCAAATCAAATGAGGATGCTTTTTACAAGTGTCCGACTAGTTTGGCTATGGAGGTCCTTTTTGGCTGCCTTCCTATGACCTGAGACTTACACATTATGCGGTAGCTTTACGTTGGTTTTTCCTGTCTTGCTAGAATTGGACAGTTGATTCGCAAAATTATCATTAATTCTGGTGGATGGATAAATTTGTGGTGAAAAATATTCATAGTACCTACAAGATAAAAATTCATAAAATAAAACTTTCTTAATGAAAGAAGCATGAGAATTAAAAGCAAAATTTGTTTAAAAGGATATGGAGTTTTGAGAGCAGATAAACCAGCCTGGAGTGCAACGGTGAAAACAGACTGTGATGCTAATTGAAACAATCGATAATTTTCTCGTCTAAATTGCTCCACTAATTGGTCCCACCTGGATTCATTCAGCATTTCTTTGTACGGAGCTATTTCTGGAAAAAAGTAAAAAGAATCTTAGGTAGAGTAAAAATAATTCCTGTTAGAAATGATTGATCAACAACTATTGACTCCTACATGATTTTAAATCATTTTAAGGTCATTAATGTGATCATCGACAGTATTAATAAAAACATCATGGGACTGGATTTTTTCAAAGGGTAAAATAGTAAATGAAGAAAACACCCAGCTTGTATGGTATGGGAATGTGCAAAGGATGCCAGACGATGGGTTGCATAAGAAGGTTCTGGATTGGAACGACCTTGGCAGAAAACATAGAGGACGCCCTGCCAAATTGTGGATTGATGAAATAAGGCAGGAAAGAGGAAATGCAACTTTCCCGAGGAGCTTTGGCAAGATCACTATCAGTAGCGGTTGGATGTCGCAGAGCGCACAAAAGCGCTGTAAGAGAGACATGTTAGTAGTAAATAGACTTGCTAACAAGTTATCTTGAAAAAAGTGAGGGCGAAACAGGTCCAAACTCACTTGTGGTAGATGCTTTTGACACCTGGCACATTCATTTACAAAGTACTTTTTCAGAAAGTATTTCTTTTTACAAAGTATCGAAGCCCCTTGAAAATTGTGCGGAAAGTCTAATTTTCTGCCAAGAGGGAGAGGGAATCAAACTTGAAAATGGACAGTATTTACAAGATACCAGGGTGTTATTTTTCTTCAAAAATGTCAACTTTTCTTACCAAAAATTTCATCTATGCCTGCTATACTCAACACTGCCTAGAGAAATTAAGTAGTGCTTTGTAGGAAGGTTAAGATTACGGAAGCCTTCAATGTTCAAAATTATGAGAGAAATAGACCAAAAAATCGCATTATTACCAGTATTTGTAGGGAAAGCAAGCAAAGCCATACAGTGTTGAATGTCTTTCAGTTGATCTTCTTCATAGTTGGAAAAATGTTTGCGAGCATGTCTGGAAATATTTCAAAATAAATTTTAGACAAACCCTGACAAAGTTCAATTGATACAATTATATGAAAGCGACTTCATTTCTTGAGTAAGCTCATTGTTTGAGAAAGCAAACGGCAAATACAATTAATACGAATAGAGGTATTCCAATACACCTCCCACTAAAAAAAACAACCATCATCGCAGACTTTCTCAAACAATAGTCTATGCCAGGTTAAAATCTGCAATATAATTAATAATAATAAATCCTTAAATATTTGATTTGCAGTTCTTTTCAAAAACTGCTTGCCATGAGTGGCATGAGTTGCAGGCTCAGAACAGCTAGTTATCTATGGAAAGCTACCATCCTGATAGATAATTTGACAGTAAAAAGAAAAAACTACTTGAAGTGATTTTTTTCCACCTTCGTGTGAATGAAGCTGAAATCTATTCAAGCAACCAATCATACTTCTGTTTTATCTCAAATCATTATTAAGTCAAAACTGACAACAAAGACATGCTTTAGTCAAAGCGTACTGAGACATGAAAAATATTTGCTGTTCTTTATGCCCTATTATTCTTGTGATTCCACGGTGAAATTTTGACTTGACAGCAAACTTTCAAGATGAGCAAAAAGAGTTATAATTTCTGATGTGAGTGATTTTTTTTCCCTTTTCAAAGGCTGTTTTTCTATTTCGATGTCTCCAATTATTCAACTCTTTCAGAGGTGCCTCATAAAAGAGAGAGAAAGAGAAGAAGTGAACCGATCAGAGAAAAATACATAATGAAGTATCACCAGAGAACAATAAAAGAAAGAAAATAAATTTTCTTAAACTCACTTCACAGCGTCTACACGGCGATCTGCTCGTACTAGTTCGATGAACTCCTGGACTCGTAAGTTGAACTCCATTGTTGATTTTAGTTTCCTTAATTTTGATTTATTATCATGACACCAAGCAAGGCATTTAGCTGTTTCATGCTCAGATAAGGACTTTTCAACTTCACGGCTTACCATGAATATTTCTGCAAGAACCAAACAAAACCAAAAAACGAATCATTTACACTTTTGTTAGGATATTAGGATGTAAGGACATTTTACTCATAGCCACTTAACTTCCACAACACTTGATCTTTGGCATTAGGCCACTGAAAACACCACCAGGAGTAAGACAGACATGGGGTGCCCCAAAATGGCTAGGAATTGAATCTGTGAAAGTGTGTATTTCTGATGACTACAGCTCTCATAAACCCTGTTCTTGAAAATTGTATGCATGAAAGAAGTTGGTGGAGGAACCCACAAGGGTCAAGAATAACAAATCAATTTTTCATAAAAATAAGAAATGGGCTTTTTGGCGATACGGCTAAAATGTAAAAAAAGATGAGGATTGAATTTTTTCACTGAGAGGCAATAATTTGCACTCAAGTTTCACATAATAAAACACGTTTCGTGTGATTAAACTTGGCAATGTTTTGGCAAATTCTAGGGCAATGGACAAGGATTAATATATACCTTGAAATTTTGAGTGTGCTGAGGAACATGGTACTAGTAATTTGTCTAAGGACTGGGAGATTTTGGCCAATTTTGAATACATACCTACGATAAACATACTTCCAGCCCTGCAAAACCCTCCTTTAAGAATTTGTAAGGGGCAAATAGGTTCAGTTTTGAAGCTCTTTCTTTGACCAGTTTAGGCCTATTTAAATCTACATATTATAAAGGTAGGTACAAGAAATGTTTTGACAAGAAAAATTTTGAATTAAAATCCAAATCCCTTTTTTTTTAACAATTTTCAAACAGCTTCAGGGCTAATCCTGCACTCAAATTTTCTGTCTCCTTACACCCAGCCCCAGATTACCACTGCGCCAGATCATCAAACTCAGATGGCCTGGCCAGGGAATTGAACTCGGGACCTCCTAGTCATAGTGCTATCACTACAACCATTAAACCGCAGGAATCCAACAAACATTTCAATAATTACTTAATTCTTAAAAATACCTGATTAAATTTCATTTAAATGTTTGTACAAAAGTTGCCTCTATCGTAAGTAGTATACTGACCAATATTTGTGAGGTCATGGAGATCACTGGTGTGTGCCAGACGTGTGGCAGCTTGGTAATAACCGCGCCGGAGAAAGTATTCAACAAGCATTCTATCCAGTCGCCGCCTTCTCCATTGCGCAGCAACAGCAGGATCGCAATGTTGCTTCAAGTGTTCAATTCTACGTTTACAAACCATTCCAACATGTAACTCTTCAGAAATGCTTTCCTCAGCCTAGAATATGAACATAATTGTGTGAGGTTTGATGTGCAATAATACATAATTCCATCTGAACCCTGAAATATATTTATAAATTTTAACACATTTTGATGGGGGAAAATTCATTGCTCTGAAATACTGCTGAGGCAAAAAAAGTGCTCCCATGGGGGGGCTCTTACAAATAATCTAATTTGATGATCCAGACTAAACATTGTTATAAATTGTAAGTGCAATATGATAAATATGATGTCCCACACAAGTTAAGAATTGAGACCACCGTTTCTGAACCTTCCACAAACTTGTCTGCAGAGGTGTCCTCTAAAATAAATGCAGGCATTACTTCAGGTGCACACATAAACATGCTCACCCTGAAAATATGCTGCTGAAATACACACCGGAGTAATTTTCAAAATTTGCTGCAAGGATCCTAGGCCCCCTATGTTGGGTAGGGCCTTCAAACCTTTTTCAGCACGGCTTGCTCCCAAAAAATTTGGAGCAAATAGGATCCTAGCCTTATTCTTGTGAAAAGAGCATCAACCTCTCTCATGAAAATAGGAGGTTGACATTGTATTCAGGAGTATAGAGAGTGTCAGTTGGCCTAGAGCCACTTGATCCAGTATTTTTCCCTGCTCACTTCTGAAGTTTCCTCCCTTTCCCAAATTTTACGAAGTGACCTTTTTTTTTCCTGTTCTCCACCATTGGAAATTTTCTCATGTTCCTGTAAGGAATGCTCAGAATGTTTCCTAAAAAGTCTAAAAAAGATCAATAAATCATCAGAATTTTTCTGGAGATATCCTTCTATGTCCTCCTGGGCAAAAATTTCCTAACTGAGCATGCAACCCACATGATGGTGCAGATTTTTCACCCCTGATTAGAGACAGTTTTCTTATTGCTTCAAATTTAAGGAGAAATACAGACTCACCTTTCGCTTGAGGACTTGAAGTTTTTCCACCATACCGCCTAACAATCGTGTAATTTCTCCAGCTCCAACAGCATCAACATTCAGTCCTTTCTCCAACTCCAGAGCCGCTGCTTGAACATGTGAGACTTCGCGGTCCAATTGTTTTTGAGCTGCACGAAACTTCTTGTTCAACAATTCATACGGAACCTGTAGATTAAAAATGAGGAGTATTTAGAAAAGACTTGGCTGCTCCCGCCCAACACGGAAATATTTTAAAAATATTGCTGAAATATTGTCAAAAACATTTTAACAATATTTTAACAATATCGAAATAATATTGCTGCAATAGTTTGTTGTCCGCCCCCCTGACAATATTGCAGCAATATTGTCAAGGTAATATTGATAATATATTTTAAAAATATTTACTTGCGATGAGGTTATCATATTCCATATCCGTGTGCGCGCACTCTAGGAGACGTCTTTGGTACTAATTTTCTTTCTAATGTACACATGCGTCCAGGTTGTGGATCGTAGAGTTGTTACTGACCTTAAAATCCGCGCCGTCCTAGTCGGGATTAGAACCCACGCCTCGGGGTGGAGTTGATATCCGAAGTCCAGTACTTTACCACCAGACCAGCCAGGCTTGATGTAGATGGGCCCGTAAATTCAATCTCTTAACTATCGCAGGCCTCTGAGTCCGTAATATGTTTGTTTATTGACGGATTCTTATAATATTTTACCAGAATTTATTATTTATTATTTATTTATTATTTTTTATTTCATCCTGTAATTTGTGTTTCAAATTCTTTATTAATTGTACTCAACATATTCCTATTCATGTATTACAAATTTTCGTTTTTTTTAACTCTCTCTCATTTTTTTCTTTACCAAATTACTGTTTTTTATAATTGCGTCTTTTTCCAGTTTTAATTATTTGAGCTTTTTCCTAGTTTGAATTTATGTCGATGTATTTATGTTATGTTATTTATTTTTTTCCCTTCTTTTTGTCTTTTCCCCCCCCCCTTTCTTTTTTCTAGCGATTGATTTTAGTAAGTTCCGCAAAATAATTGGTAAACAGAGCAAAACCATACGCTAATTTGGCAAACATTTTGAAAATCTAGCAAAAATTTTAGCCATAATAGCATAAACTAGTAATGTTAATTTCGCAAAAGTATATTGCCATTTTCGCACAATAAAATTACCACTTTTGCAAATTGTTTTGTCGTTCTCGCCACGAGGGTGGGCATTTTAGCAAAAAAAGCAAATTGCAGAAATCGCAAACCATTTTTTGCCATTTTAGCAATTAATTTTTAAATATTACAAAAATATTTATAAAATATTTTTAACATAATATTAAACAAATATTTTTAAACTAATATTTCTAAAATAATTTTAAAATATTTTGTAAATATATTTTACAAACTGTTTTAAAAGTAATTACATAAATATATTTTGTAAATATATTTAAAACATTTTTATAAATATATTGTTACAATATTGTCATGAAATATTTTAGCAATATTGTCAACATATTTCTGCAGTGTATTTAAGGAAATATTTACATGACAATATTGTTTCAATATTGACAATATTGCTGCAATATTGCTGCAATATTTCGTGTTGGGCGGGCTTCTTGATATTTACTGCCGTAAATACACCGGTGGTACATAAAATTTACACCATTTGTGGACATGGTTGCTTCTGATTGGTTGTCTAACATCATTGTTGATGATGTTGAGGTTAGGTTGATCCACTGGTAGACCATTATCTCGTGCTGAAGAATCATTCCTAACGCCGATTGGTGGTACCAAATCCATCATCAGTGGCACCAGCCATCAATTTAGAGCTCAGTGGTACCGCCATTCAATAAAAGAGAACACTAAATATATATTGCTTTCCTGAGACCTGGCAATACTCAATGGCATCTGTGAATGAGTTCAAGAGATATACACCTACTTCTGTCAATTCTTCAAGAGGAAATGGTAGATAAGGCATAAAATTTAGATAGAAATTTAGAATGGATTATAATGCCTACTCCTTTAAAAAACCAAAAGGGTTCAATAGAAGATAAAGTGAACTGACAATGGATGAAAAAATTTATGAGATTTTCAGTCCGGCACTCACGCCATCCCATGACTCTTCATTTCCATTTAAGTGAGTACACATTTAATTCAGATGAATTCAAAATTCGGTTGGGTGCTTCAGCTCTCGAGAAAATGAGCACCCCCCTCTCCGTCAAGCCTACCTATATGACCCCTGTGGATCTGCAGGCTTCAAGACTGAAAAGTATGGATTCCTTGGTGCAGATTGCCAAAGACTCCGTCTAATCTCAGTGACTAAGTCAGTTTTGCTGTGGAAAAGCTCTCTATGGAATGAGGCACCATCCTACATCTACCGCCCCTTTCAATGAGGGGTCGTGCAGCAAGAAAGGGCAGACCAATTAGGGATTGTAGTACATAAATTAGGGTTGGAAATTATTTAAGTTTTTCGGGTGTACTCTGGGGGTGTTCAAACTTGATTAAAGAGGACTGTAGGTCCCTGTCATAGGACAAGAAAACAGGACAACAACAGGAGATCTGCAGTAGATGGTTCCATACTGCTGAACGACATTCAACTCTAATGAATCAATGTGAATGTTTCCTCCAGAGGAGCTGATACCTCACCTTTAATGTAGGATGCTCCAGCGATCTGACATCATTCATTTTCATTGAAGCAGAGACGCTGACGCTCATGATACATGAAAACTGATAAAAGACATTCACTATCACAAAGTGACCAAACTTTCGTCAATGAAGAAAAACAAAATTTGGGAAGGAAAAGAAGGTAGAGGCAGTTTCTTCTTTGTTTACATTATGACGTAGGTAATTACAATACATCGTCAACATCCCAATAAGATCAGGAACCCGAAGAATGGTAAATGAACCAAAACGTCCGTATTTTCAGCGTGACTTAATGCAATTATGTAGTTTTATTCTAATCCAATACTTAGGAAGTAAGATTAATCATAAATCAAATTATTTCCTTATTTCCCAGAAAATCAATCAATGTATCCTCTGACGTCATCAAGCCCTCTCCAATGCTAATTGGCTAATGCAATGCCTCCACCTTCTTTCCTTCCCATTGATGTGTAAGTCGTGTTGTTGTTTTAAATGTGTGTGTGATTGTGAATTGTGATAGTGCAAGCTCAAAGCTCATGCTCTGCTTTGTTTAAACTATCTGCTTTGAGTTAATCAAACGCTTTGCGGCTTTTCAAGCTAGCTTTACTTAGTAATTCTTCATTTAAATTTTATAGGAACTATATTGTGATGGCAAGCAACTCAGAGGAATCGCAACAGTCCATCGCCCAGAAAACATGGGAGCTGTCGAACAACATCAAAACAGTAAGCTCTGTCGATGAAATCTACAGATATGACCGAAAGCAACAGCAAGATATCCTCTCAGCAAAACCATGGGACAAAGAGTAAGTGTTGCACATGTTTTCATAACAAATAGCTATTTGAATTTTCTCCTGTCTGATGCCGACAACTTGTAGCGCTGCCATGAGGGAGGTGAAGTCCGAAAATGAGGAGAGAATTTCCCACAGCGTTTTCTCTTCGTAAGCACTGAGTTCATCATAAGTCAAATTAAAAACGGGACCATTTAATTTGAATGACAATTTAGCCTATTGATCAAAGAGGATGGTTTGTGGCTCCAGGATCTTCCAATTTTATTCCTTTACTTACTTATGCACAAGGCTTGAGCCACAGGTTAGGTCTGCTAGTCCTTGTTACGGCACTTTCATTAGGTAACTGATTGGAATTCAGATGATGGGTCTCTTTCATAACAGGTCAATCCCCACACCGGATTGATCATTCGAAATGTGTGTAAGTCGGATGGACAAGATTGGACTAACCAAAGGGGTGGTATGATTGGTCAGCCGTTGGTCAGCCGTTTCAATTGTAAAACCGGCAATCACATTGTAAGTAGTAACGAATTAGAGTTCAATTTAGGGAGGGAGGTTGGAGCAAAACATGAGGATCACTCTGAACTGAACACCTGCTTTCTTGGTGATTTCTGCACTGCACGGGGTAGCTGTCGAACAGCTAATTTTCAACTGAGGACGCAGCTGTAATTATTTATTTTATTTTGCATTTCATAGCCTTGCAAACCAAGATAAGCGCAGTTAAACTGGTGAAACCACCTATCCATGCTCTAGGCTCTCAAATTTTCAGGGATCAAGGACGAGTGGAATCTGTTCCTGCAGATTCAGTTGACTGAGCTCACTGGAAATTTGTTGCCATTACTGGGATTTGAACCCACAACCTATTGACCTGGAATTAGATGCATTATTTTGAAATGACTTTTGAAGATCAGTGCACATTTACCCGCATTTTTTCTTTAGTGTCATGCTCATCAATATATCTCATTTTGTTCACTTCTCTAGGATCTTTTCCTTACTTAGGTACTCTTTTTTATTTCCAAAATGATGAAGTGATAATTTAACAAATGATCTTTTTTGTCTGTGTGTTAACAGCCCTCATTTTTTCAAAGACATTAAAATATCTGCACTAGCATTGTTAAAGATGGTCATGCATGCCCGCTCCGGAGGTACTCTGGAGGTAATGGGCCTTTTGTTGGGAAAAGTTGATGCTAACACGATGATTGTGATGGATTCATTTGCTCTACCAGTCGAGGGAACGGAAACCCGCGTTAATGCTCAAGCTCAAGCCTATGAATACATGACTGCCTACATAGAAGCTGCAAAACAAGTAAGTTCTTTTAGCTCTGTCTATTCGGCCTTAAAAGGTAACTGCATCAATTTGTTACTGTTTTGCAAACCCATTAAAAGAAGTGCAGTGAATGTTGATTTTTTTCTGATTTTAGAATTTTTGTTATCTTCATTTTCTTAAAAGTATTGTGAAAGCACTTTATTATGTAACTTAAGCACCTTAAATATCTCTTAAATATATAAAAAACTAATCGAGTGATTAGCTAACATTACACTTGGCAAAAATGCTAGAATTCAAAAAAGATAAATCAGCCTATTATTGAGAAAATATAGATATGTGACCATAAAACTGTTTTACTATCCGTCTGTAATTAATATTATCCCTTAAATGCCTGATTCTGCAGGTGGGTCGAATGGAGAATGCGATTGGATGGTACCATAGCCATCCAGGTTATGGATGCTGGTTGTCAGGTATTGATGTGTCAACTCAGATGATGAATCAAAATTTTCAAGAACCTTTTGTAGCTATTGTGGTAGATCCAGTAAGAACTATTTCAGCAGGCAAGGTATGTCTTGGTGCCTTCAGAACTTATCCTAAAGGTTACAGGCCTGCTAATGAAGAGCCCTCAGAATATCAAACCATCCCGTTGAACAAAATAGAGGATTTCGGAGTGCACTGTAAACAGTATTACTCCTTAGAAGTATCATACTTCAAGTCATCACTAGACCGTAGGCTTTTAGACTCTTTATGGAATAAGTATTGGGTAAATACCTTAAGTTCATCTAGTTTATTAACCAATGCAAGCTACCTAACAGGTCAAATAATGGATCTTTCCGAAAAACTAGAGCGATCTGAGTCATCTTACAGATGTAGTTTCATGTTTGGTATCTCCGATTCTACTGAAAAAAAGGCTGAAGACCGATTAATGAAAGCAACTAAAGATAGTTGTAAAACTTCAGTTGAAATTATACATGGCCTCATGGCACAAATGATCAAGGACAGACTTTTTAACCAAATACAAACTAGCAATCTGTCATGAGCTTCATTTGAATGAGAACATATTTGTGTCACCTTAAATATGGTAGCTCAAGTAAAAGATTACAACTCTACCTTCTTTTTTATGTTATGATAACATGATAAATAGACAGTAGCAACTGAATAAGTTTCTCTCAAATGTAGAATAATGTATATGTTTGTAAATAATGTAAAAAATCTATTGAAGTTGAAGTCTGGGCCTAACTCATCATACCATTAAATTCAACTTTCTCACTTTTACATGCCTTTTTATACTGATTGAAATCACTCAACCTTTTATTTATACCAAAAAAGGAACTTTCACTGAATTACCCACCCTCTCGGCAAGAGGGGAGAAACAATATTGGTCCAACTACATTCAAACAATATTACATAGGCTGTCCAAAAAGTACCAAGACTGGTTCTATAACTCCAAAACCAAGATAGCTAGAGGCTTGATCTTGGTCTCATTTGAAAGATTAACTCAATATCTATCGATTGAAACCAAAATCAAAACTTTCGGTCAAATATTTCAAAAGTTACAACACTGTTTGTAAGAAAAAATATCTGGACCCCCTACCGTTTTTAATGACTATTTTCTCTTGCCCTAAACACTCTCCAAATTATTAATGATCAGTACACGGTTGTTTTGCAACTAATCATGGCAAAACCTATTTGATCTGGAAACACTGTGAAGCCGTCGTCGTCCGACTACGGGTATAAGGGTTCAAAATCCACAGGGAAAGAATGAACCGTCGGTTAGCCACCCCCAAAAAACCCGAGAAATTTTCGGCAGTTGATGACAGTTCACAGTGCGTGCGTAGTTTACGCTGCAGATAGTGAGTGATTTTATTTCTGTGTTCGAAATTTTGATATCACTGCTTTATCTCTTTCCATGATGATATCAACAATTTCGAACGCAGAAACAAAATCACTCACAATCTGCAGCGTAGACCACGCACGCACTGTGAACTGTCATCAACTGCCGAAAATTTCCCGGGTTTTTTGGGGGTGGCTAACCGACGGTTCATTCTTTCCCCGTGGATTTTGAACCCTTATACCCGTAGTCGGACGACGATGGCTTGACAGTGTTTCCAAATCAATTAGGTTTTGCCATGATTAGTTGCAAAACAACCGTGTACTGATCATTAATAATTTGGAAAGTGTTCCCGGCAAGAGAAAATAGTCATTAAAAAACGGTAGGGGGTCCAGATATTTTTTTTACAAACAGTGTTGTAACTTTTGAAATATTTGACCGAAAGTTTTGATTTTGGTCTCAATCGATAGATATTGAGTTAATCTTTCAAATAAAACCAAGATCAAGCCTCTAGCTATCTTAGTTTTGGAGTTATAGAACCAGTCTTGGTACTTTTTGGACAGCCTATGTACTTTGAAGGTAGAAATCTTGCTTCAACATTGTGAAGAAATATTGGGAGGGTATGGATTCGACCAAAAAATAAAAACTTGAATCTATGTACTTGAACCAATTACTTAACACTGTTTTGACTGACAAATGATTTAAAAAACTGCTGTCAATTCAACCTAACTCAATCGATGTGAATCTTTTGAAAAATAAATAAGTCAACCGATCAACACCGATTCGATGGACAGTTGATTTTAAAAAATCAGTGTCCATTCAAAGGATGTGAAGCGATCAAAAATAAAAACGTGAACTGGTCGACGCAATTCAATCGATTCACGGCTTTGTCGATGATCCGCGATTTTTTTATCGATTCCCAGACTTGTTAATCTGTTCACAATTTTTCGATCGATTTGCGGATTTGCCGATCGATTCACGGGTTCGTCGATCGATTCGCGGGTTCGTCGATCGATTCACGGGTTTGTCGATCGAATCGTCGTCGATTGAATTGTGTTGATCGGGTCACATTTTTGTTTTTCGATTGATAAATGCTGATTGAATTGACACCGGGTTTTTAAATCTATTGATTGATTCACGTTTTAATTTATTGATCGATTCATGTTAATGGAACAAAACCCTCCGAAAGTATTCACATCAATTCACTGGGTGATATTTCATGAAATGTTACCACAATATTGCCACAATCATCAAAATCAGTGTCGTGGAACATTTATCCGAAACAAAAGCTGTAGAGGTACCTAGGACATAGTGGAAATAAAGATAGAGACAAAGCAAATCCCACCAACACCACTATTTTTGCAAGTTCTAGCCTGTAACATTGGTGCAACTTCTGTCAAGAATATTAATCGCTTTCTACCTCATAAGGAATGATTTACAATGTCAATGCTATATTTGAATTTTCCCTCTCAATATTGGTGGCTGTTGAGATTATTGAGGCAATATTACAATAATATTGTTGTATGCCTCGATTAATTATATTAATCTATGTCTTCATGGAAAGCTTCCACAGGGCAGCAAATTGACAAGATGGAAGTCACACAACGTATTGAGTGCTTTTGGGAGGGGACTTGATGAAATTATTGTGAAGTGTCAGTATTGATACACATAATTTTTAATATGATTTTTTGTAGAAAGTACTTTTAAATGGGTCATTATTTACATTGCCATTGTAAGGGAAGTATAATATCTGCTCATTGACAAGTTCATCTGTTAGGAAGGTCTCCATTTATTCTACATATGAAAACAGCGGTGATAATGAAAGACAGGAATAGAAAATCTAATTGATTAATAAAGTGAAACATCAGAGCTAATTATGGGTCTCTTTTTTCTGGGAAAAAAATACTTTTTCTTTGTCATAAATAAGTACAAATTAAATGCCATCAGCGATATCCGCCTCTTAGTTGAGATTAAGATGGAAGATTGAATTTACCGAAAAATGGGAAAGTCCTGCGAGAGTAGTTGACACTCTAGCTTGTAACGATCGGTAGCTATAAACAGGGGTGCCCTGCTGCCCTCTCTCACCATCACCTTAGGTTCGGTCATTCAGAGCTCTTGAGGGCATTGCATGTTAGAGGGTAGCAGCTTCTGCTCCTGGTGGGAGATCACACCTCAAATGGGTAGGTCCCGGCCTTTCGTGCCAGGCTTTTTTCTCGATTATTTTAGCGCGATTATTACGAGGATTAAAAATAAACAAGCGGCACGGAATAAAACAAAAGAATATGAACTATGCAAAACGATAATCCGGGTATCGGAACTTGGTTGATTTGAAAACGCCTTCAAAAACGGAGTGATACCTCACGCATTCCGGAGAGTTCATATAGTTGTATCATTGCGCCGTAAGAATGTGATAGTCCAGGCGCCTGGAAAGTCTACCTGGAATTTTGGGTACACAGCGATTTTTTTGGCCTACTTCATGTTTTTTGGGTCGCTGAATTCGAATCTGAAGTTTCCTACCGCGTATCTGGTGAGCATTTTCTGCCATATTGAAAAAATTTCCTAAAAAGGCCTTTTTTTGCGGTTTTTTATATAGCGGCTACGCATAAGAAAAAGTCCCGGATTTAGTTAATGTTTTGAATAGCTGACATAGGTAATTTTGAAGAAAATGGTGTATGAATATGCTAGGTTTGCTCAAAAAGTGAGGAACCTCGGATCTCGGAACTTTGGAACGCTTCGGAACTTGCCTGACCGCGGCGAGCCGGATCGCGCGTTGACGGGTGAGCCGCGAAAACATGAATGGGCGAGATGTTCACGATGCTGTATCTTCCTCAATTTCTAAGCAAACCTAGCATATGTATACACCATTTTCTTCCAAATTATGTCAGCTATTCAAAACATTAACTAAATCCGGGACTTTTTCTCATGCGTAGCCGCTGAAAAAAAAAAAAAAAAAAAAAAAAAAAAAAAAAAANAAAAAAAAAAAAAAAAAAAAAAAAAAAAAAGGCCTTTTTAGGCCATTTTTTCAAAATGTCGGTAAATGCTCACCAGTTACGCGATAGGAAACTTCAGATTCGGATTCAGCGACCCAAAAAACATGAAGTAGGCCAAAAAAATCGCTGTGTACCCGAAATTCCAGGTAGCCTCATTTTTAGCTACCAGGCGCCTGGACTCTGACGGAAGATTTAAATGGAGATAGCCTCCATGCACGCTGGGCGTGTCGATTTCCTTTGAAATTTTTGCAGTGATGAATGCATAGCTGAAGTGCGCTCCAGCTAGACTTGTATTTAGCAAATGGATGGTTTTTATAGGACGATTATAATTAAACACGTGGTTAGAAATGAAAACAAAATAATATGAACTATGCAAAACGATTATTCCGATAACGGAACTTGGCTATTTTGAAAACGCCTTCAAATGCGGCGTGATACCTCACGCATTCCGGAGAGTTCAAATAGTTGTATCATTGCGCCGTAAGAATATGACGGAAGATTGAAATGGAAATAGCCTCCATGCACGCTGGGCGTGTCGATTTCCTTTGACATTTTTGCAGTGATGAATGCATAGCTGTATTGCGCTCCAGCTAGAATTGTATTAAGCAAATGGGTGGTTTTTATAGGACGATTATAATTAATCAGGTGGTTAGAAATAAAAACAAAATAATATGAACTATGCAAAACGATTATTTCGATAACGGAACTTGGCTGTTTTGAAAACGCCTTCAAATGCGGCGTGATACCTCACGCATTCCGGAGAGTTCAAATAGTTGTTTCATTCCGCCGTAAGAATGTGACGGAAGATTGAAATGGAAATTGCCTTCATGCAGGCTCGCCACATCCCATCTCGGGCCCTGGTACCAGTTTTAAGGTCCGGGCCCCAAGCACGGAGGGGGGGGGGTCTGAGGGGCATCCCCCGAGAAATTTTAGAATTTATAGGATTAATCTGACGCATTTTGAAGCTTCCATAAAGAATTTTTCCATCAATTTCTGCGGAATAATAATGTTTTTTTTTTTTTATACTTTCAGCACAAAATACTTGCTAATTGTTGCATTCAAAACATCTGGAAAATTTTTATTTTGGGGGGGGGCATATGATACTATTTTCAGTTCTATGAGGGCCAGGCCCCCTGGACTCCCCCTTCGTTTGTCTATGGCAAGGGAGTTGAGCCATGAGCCATTGAAGTCGAGGATGCCCAGACTGGAGACTCTTAGCATCTGACGACAGAAGAAAATGAAACGCAGTTACTAAAAATATCCCTCTGTACTGAAAATCTTGAAAATTTAAGAAGAATTCTACAGTGCCCAGCGTGTTTCTGAAAATCTATTCACCTTTTGCGAAATTTTTAGGGTAAATTTGTCACTTTTTCTTACGAAACAAGGGTTGCATGTGAATTCGTAGTGGTTTTTCACGGGTAACACGTGCCCCCTCCGGGGCCCGGGCCCCGGTA